GTGAAAGGTGCTGCTTTATCTCAATATCGTTGATCGTATAAACAACTTGCGGTTATATGGCAAAAGAGAATCAGAAGTTTTATGAGGATGACAAACCGAAAGTATTACCAAACAGCTAACACTAGTGGTGAACATATACCAAATGACTTTTTGCTAGGGTTGTTCAAAGATGATCATATTATTCAATTCGGAACAAACGAACTCCTGCTCGAAGTAGACGCACGGTTCCCAAGACTCGCAGTAATGGGTTTGGGGTTAATAAAGCTCTACAGTGAGAGATGTCTGTAGTACTTATTTTTACATTTTTATAAGCTTCAAGAGGAAGAATACAATAACTGATGACGTTTATTTCTATTTTTCATATCCTTCTGAGCTTACAGAAATCCCTAATAACCCAAGGTTCGCACATACAAGAGCATATTACGCCTTAAATAGTTTTAAGAGTCGTAAAGAAGAAATATAAGTATATTTTGATGTTTTTGACGTCTTTTACAATTAGTGACGCTGTCATTTAATTAGCTTTTGTTAATTCATTTACACTGTTTCTTTCTCGAGTCTATGATGTTAATAATTATTTAATAAATAATATCACATTATCCTTTATTTCCAAAGAAAGGAAAAGCCGCGCAATCTTATTCATATAATATTATTTAAAATGAGAAATGGGAACATAATTTATTAACTTCACCTGTTGCATGTCTTCAAAGGCTCACACAAACAGAATTATTACATATAATTCAATTTCATGAGCTATAAGCCAGGTATTATTCTCTAGCGCTTTGATTCAAATTCTGAAAATTTGAAAAAGATCATGTAGCAGGTAAACACGATCCTGTTAATCTATAAGAGTTGTAAGAAAGAAGAAGAAGAAAGGGACAGCTAGCTTGTTATTATTCATAGGGACAAAAGTGAACACAATTTTAAAGGCTGTAACTGTATAAAATCGCTTTAGGCAACAGCAGTAACTTTCTTTTCTTTATAATGACTCGCAGAAAAATTAAAAAAGTTTCCAATGGAAAGAATGGATTAATTCTTATAAGATTAAAAATATTTGGACTAAACCTTCTGCTTTTTCTTTTGATAAAATGGGGCTTATTTGTTATAGGATAATAAATATTTTTGCTAAATTGTTTACCTTACTCAGAATAGGATTCTCGTGAATTATTTACGACCTTTAGAGCATTATCATGACAAAAACATAGTGGTGCCAACGTCTGCATTGGTACTTCCACTGATATAACGATTTGTATATGGATACAATGAAAAAGTCATTAAAATAAAATTATACACAATTCATTTTCATTCTATCGCAAATATTTACCATGCTTTCAAGAAACAGAAATAATTCCGTATAAAATTACATTATAATGTACATTGTTTTTTCATGATTAATATATTCGAGAGCCGTTTCAACACCACATAAACATTTCGAATTTCATGACCAGTACATTTAACCGATGAATAGAATTTTGAAATCCCAGTGTTTATAAATAATATTGAATATTCATATATATACATATTGTTAAACTCCAATAAATTCAAGGTTGTTTTCGAAACAAGGAAATGCATTCTACCTAGTATTTTCGTTTCATTTCTTTAATTTTACATGTTATGTGAACTATGAGATTCAAAAATTTTGTGTTTGTAAATGAATTCAAAAACAAATACAATTTATATGCTTGAACCAACACACTTTCGTATGGAAAGAGGTTAAAATTATTCCATGAACCAAACCTAAACGTCAAGAACAACTCCTTTAGGTTGAGCCTTAGACAGGACAAGACAGATGTTTGTATAGTGTCTATCCACAATACCATTAAAATATTTATGGGAGACGGGTTTGACAAACTGAACAAGGTTTTTGTGTAGAAAATTACATTTCCTGTTAAAGTATTAAGGAAATCTAACTGTTCATTGGTTCCTTCATTTATTCCCAATGAACATTCGATTCCGACATTACTTAACGAACAACTGACATAGCTCTCACTGTCCCTATTTAAAGTATACGGCAATAAATCATTGTAATTGCTTGGAACTATGTATATAACAAAGAACGTTTTCTCAAATTTTGGTTCCAAGAAGAAACAAAAACTGCAAAAAATTCTAGCATCCAAGAAGGCCAACTACTTGTTTTCTGCTATTGTTTTTTTTTTTTAATTAAAACCTATTAATTTTTCCGCTTTAATACGAGCTAAAGACTAGGATTTTCGAGCTAAAGATTATTTCAAGTGTCAGAATCTCAAAACTATCTGTTTTTATTGACAAAATAAATCATTTTTCCCGGCCTTTATACTAACTTACTAAACTGAAAACAAATACACTATAAAAATAATATAAAAACGAATTAAGCGATATATTACTTTGATCTAGGCTACCTTATCACATCACGAAGATCGAGGTCATAATTTATATGTATTCCGAAGCTAAATAAAGGTCACAGATCAACATGAAAAAAAATTCGGAGACTAATTTAAAACATTAAAGTATTTGAATATTTTTGAAAAGCCCCCCTGTGGCACAGCGGTATGTCTACGGACTTACAACGCTAGAAACCGGGTTTCGATACCCGTGATGGGCAGAGCACAGATAGCCCATTGTGTAGCTTTGTGCATAAATTCAAACAAACAATTTTTGAAACCTATATAAAATAATTTTCGTCACCCTTTTAATCCACCTCGAGAATTTTATTGCATACGGCTTTTTTTATTATTATAAAAAATAGAATATTTCAGATAAATTGTTATAAATATCACATTTTCTACACTGTATATTGCAAAGGTTTTAATTGGTGATAAAAAAGTATGTCATTTCATCTTAGGCAAATTACATTTTTATTCCATCAAGAACTACAATAATGCTACCACTGAATAACACGGGCATGTTCGTATCACAGCAACGTCGCGCCATTTAGAGAAAGATAATGTTGTCCATGAAGAGCTTTCCCTCCTCCAACCATGAAAGATAAGTTCCATAAAATATAATACCCTGATTCTTCCGTCATTGTAGCTTTTAGTGAAATTGTTTTAACCCAGATATAGCCCTCCTTATAAAGAGAACGTATCAAATTATTTGAAGCTCAATAATACCAAGTCTTAAAGCTGCAGTGTTGACAATCTATCTTCTAAGCGTCTAACTGGTACCATTTCCTGCTGATTTTATCAATTCAATGAACCACGCTAGTAAGAAGTGGACACTAAAGTGAATAATATTGTTCAAAACTTTGGTTTTTTTCATAAACTTCAATAAATTCTCTATCAGTAATTTAAGATAAATATTTTGAACACGGATTTTCTTTTATCTTCCATTTCTTTATAATATATTGAACCCTAGTCTTTCGGCTAAGGATAAGAAAAACGTTGACATGGGATCCTTTCTTATCAGACACCACTTCGAGTCGGAAAATTAAAAACAAAGGACAGAGCTGTCATCAAAATATCTCAAACGACAATCGACCAGGAAAAGATTCATTAAAAAGTTTGAGAATTATATAAACCATAGACAGCGATTAATGTACGTAGATTCACTACTCCTTAAGCATTAACGATAACTAAACGTATTCTACCTTTATTTAAAAATAATGTTTAGCTTTTTTTTTTCTTACATGCAAGTTCTTTAAAGCACTGGTGCAAGATGAACGACTTGCTGTTTTAAAATAATTGCATTAATGTACGTTAAGTTTCTTTTGTATGTAATTAAGCACAAAACTACACAATGGGCTATATATGCTCTGCCCACCACGGGTATCGAAACCCGGATTCTAGCGTTGTAAGTCCGCAGACATGCCGCTGTGCCACTGGGGGACATGTTTCTTTTACCAACATCGTAATCGTAGTTAGTTTCTATTAGACGTTGTCTGATAGAAGATTAACTCGCTATATACGCTGGCTTCTGTAGACTAAGATGGTTTATTCCAGGTAGTGTAATTACCAGTGTAGACAGTTCTAAGATAAAATTGTATTTCTTATTCTATGTGATGTTGCACTTCAAAAGATGTTAGTTACCTGTTTAGACCATATCTTGGTTTTCATATTTGATTTTATTGTTTTACTCATTATCTTTGCCTCATTTGGAAAAAAACCACGGATTGCTTTTCTTATGGAAATGTGCAAAATCATGCATAGTTAGCTCACGAGGGTTATTTCAGAAAAGAAAAAAACAACTCATTCTTACATTATTATTATCCATGTATTTTCTCTTCTTTCAACGCCTGCATTGAAACATATTTGTATTTTTCCCTTTCTTCATTTATAAAATATACACTTCTGGTGTCATTTATCTAGTATAGGGTTAATTTACCATTGGATTACAACTCTTTATAAATTGTCATCAGATGTTCTGTCCTCGAAATTTGCTGAAATATTTTAATAATCTATCTTCCAATAATCTGTCCTCGAATCTCAGTGAGATACACACAAATTCTTCAAGAGGTTCACACTCGTCCCTGTTTAGTCTACTGATTGGCAAGTATGATTCTCGCTTATCCTGTTGTTTATATTTTCAGTGTGCTGACTTTTCACACGAACCAGTTTATATATGACATAGTGATATCGAAAGTTTATAATAAAATACCGAATGAGAAAAGAAATATAGAACAAACCGATCAAAATAATAACCTGTCCCCTGTTTAACGAAAAGCTTTGCTTCATCGTGAAATTCAGACGTAGATTTACAAAATTAAATTTTTTAGAATGATTACTAAATAATTACTCTAAACCTCTTTAGACGAATTTACATATTCCAGTTAGTTTGGGGTTTTCTTAAATATTACTTATTCCTAATTCTTTCTACAGGATTATAACGAAAATGTTATTTTGTTCTTTGTTGTTGTTTTTTTTTTTAAATAGAGGATAAAGAAATTATAATTGATTTTAGCGATCATTGGTTCTTTCTTATATTTTACTAATTCAAATTATATACGTATTAAAATTAAACTGACAGAAATATATCCTATGTTTTAAGACAAATGTTAGAAAATAAACTATTATTACACAAAGTCTTACCTCCAGTCGAAAGATCGCTAGTAGTAGTAGTATGTCGACCGTCTGCGGCAACGCACATCGTTAACAAACAAAGGAAACCTTTGAAATTCATTATAGCAACCATTCTTGTACTTGAAGCCAACTAAACCCCTGCAACCGCGATCTTCAACTTTTAGTGGGTGATGTCCTTTTCCGCTGGTTGAAACGTTCAGCGTATTGCTCTGTCCTTTTTAACCATTACACTTCTCAACACCTGGAAACACACGAACAAAACCAGTTACCTATTTCTCAAGTTATAATATATTACTAGTACTTATGATTACCATGGTCACGTAGAATCCCTACAAAAGACTTGACTTCGAATTAAGTTATCGATCAAGAGTTGTGTTTATGGGAGAGATCATTTTTACATTTGTTCGATATATGTTAAAGGAAGACGAGTGAACTATGTATCGAGTAACACGTTGTTGTAACGTGTTTGCTACCAGTCCACCACAACTCAAAGGTTTTTGCCTCGTTCTACCGCTGAGCTCGCTCTCCGACCACAGCTGTTCCTACCACACTTCGCTTTAATATGTGAGTACAGTTTAAAACAGTTGCCACTAGAGGGCTCTACCTGACCACACAACCCCGTGCAAGTAATGTTTTGCGCTTATGAAACTAATTGTAAGGAGAATTTGTCACTCTCTAGATATGGTGGTTTCTCCTCAGCAATGACATTTTCACCAAACTTAAAGAATAATATTATTTTTTTTATAATATAATACCAAGTGATGTGAACACTATATATATATATCATTGTGTTTCTCATTGTTTTGTTTTTACCTACTATTAATGTTTTCACTATAACAGCTTTTTCTTTTGTATTAAAAAAAAACGCTAGAAAATAAAATACAAATTTATTTGCACAGTGATATAAGCAACTACATGGTTTTTAATATTGAGATTAAAATAGTTTTATTTTATTTTTTGCAGTATAATAGACATAATAATGTTTACATATCAATATACATATTAAACGTTTCACGCAATAATTTGTCCTGTCCTTCCTTTGAATTTTTACAGTTATTTAATGTTACTCTTTAAAGAACCAGTGTCGTATCTTCCACTACTCCTCAGTGGCTAAGAGGTACGTCTGAAGGCTTATAACGCTAAAAAACGGATCTGAATACCCTTAATGGGCACAACACAAGTAGCCCATTGTGTAGCTTTACGCTTAACAACAAACAAAACTCTTCAGCTTTATTTATTTTTACTTTAAACACAATAAAAAATATAAAACATTATTTTTTAAATACTTTAAAATATATAAAATCATAGGAAATTGTATAATATCTTATTAAAATCGTAAAGATGTTGACAGATTATTTACATAATATAATACAAAACCTGTACAATTCTAGTATACAATTTCACAGAAAATACAGTGTTATTACACACGCAAATTTACTGAACCCTTACATAACATTCTGGCTAACAGGAAAAATACAACCTGAACTTATTGTATTTTGAAGCTGGAAATGTATTTTGAGAATGATAGTTTTTAGCAATCAGCATAAACACTGTCAACCATCTAATAAGTGACTAAGTGTCGTCGTATGTAGTATAGATAACAACCAGCATTTGCTAACATGATTTAGAAAAACTCGCTGAGAAAGATAAACAGATACAAAAAAAAAACGTTAGACGTGCTTGATTTATATGTAACTCCTAGGTATTTGATTTTTGTTCCTAGATTTTTGTGAAGAATAATCATCTTGTTGTTATGTTTTATTTCAACAATACAATTTAACTTCTGGTTTATGTAGACACAACCCTATAATATCTCATTCCGAAAGATAGAGGGGCTTGAGGCTGTCCAGCTTTCCGGATACATTTACCACTAAAGCTTTCCTTACAACTGAGTGGGGGATTGTGATATGAAAACGTATAAGCTCGCATTAGATGCCACCATATTCGTTACAATCTCAGAACTGAAGTTTAGAGCAATATCAGCTCTCATCAGCAAGGTTCGGTCTGTGATGGAGATCCACAACCATAGAACTTTACACAGCTTCAGATGTGGACAATGGCTTATAGAGTGTTTTCTTTTAGATGTAAAGAAAACATCAGTGGTAGATTTAGGTGAAAGCTGATAGACCTGAAACTCTCATTCAAAATAAAAATAGACACAAAGATGTGTATGTTTCTGGAAACTGCACCAAGTCATTTTTCACACTTAAAATAATACAACGCTTTATTTGGTGACAATGTTTACCACATACCTAGCTGGACTGACGAAAGCTGCCATTGCTTAAAAATACAGATCTCAGGATATACGTTTTAACACCTAATGTAAGTTTAAGTGTTCCCGTTTCACAGAAGCTAATTTACTTATTTTTAAATTAAAGGAGTTCAGATTACAGTTTTATTCCTTTAGCTAAAAAATTCTAAATAAGAAAATTGACCCTCATCTTCTCTACTTTCGACTGGACCGATAACTATAATGAATTACAAAATAAACATTGACATTTCTTTCTGTTTTGATTTTTATTGTTTGTGCATTTTTATTCATATGATATTTTGTGAAGAAACTGAAAACAGGAAAACACCCAAAATCACAAACCACATGATAGATGTTTGATGTAGATTATTGTTATATATATATATGTTTAGATGTGATAAATTAGAATATATTACAAACTTATAAACCCACAACTTTTACGTTCGGACTTAAGTTCAAATTGTTACTGTCCGTAAGCTCCCAAAAGGAAGATTATGGGTGAAACTTTTAATGGAGTAGAGAAGCAGACACAAGTCAAATAGCACAGTAATTGACTCCTCCCACGAGTATCATTAACTTATTGTTTCTGAATGCTGCACACTTCCTTGCGAAGCTTAATAATATATGATTTTGGAATAATAATTAACCCTTTATGGGCATTAGTATAAACCCTTGCATTGTTAGCTTGATTTCTAGAGAGTTAGGACTGACTTAAATATACTAAGCTGTCAGAACCTTATGAGAAATTATTGGGTTTACGACCAAGAATAGCGTAAAAATAGCTAAGGTACAGAATTAATTAAAAATACATTCTAATAAAAACGTTATAAGAACAAATATATTTAATTAGTTATATTGATATTTAGTCTTGATCTAAATAGATTTTTTACTCTGACTGGAAGTTAATATTAATAATCTTACGAGAATATCATGCTGCTCAAAACATTAAAACCGACAATATATCTCTTGACAATTGATCTTTTAAATAGTCAAATACGGAGGGTATAACTTAACATAAAAATATTCAAAGTTATACACCAATTAATAAAGACATTGCTACTTAAAATGTTTAATGAAAGATAAGCTCACTACTCGCAATGGACATACAATGCATTCTTACAGAAGCTAAAAAAGTCAAAAGAGGATCAGAGTTTCAATCCTGTGCAGAAAATTTTATTTTTATTATTTATTTTTAAGGGACATTCTCGAAGCAAATAAAGTGTAACAAGCATAGCTAAGATATGCTTCGTTGTTATTCTTAAAACCTCAGTTCTCGCTGTTCGAAATCTTGTGTAAGTTTAAGCAGCTAAAATGAAAAACGCCCATAATAATTTATAAAGTTTCAAACAATATTTCGAAGGCATATTGCTCGATGGATGATATCGTTTGATTTTTGTGTGTGGCATTTATCCCCTAATTTAACAATACGTTCATTTCCGACATTTTATTAAAAGATTAATGATCTATTGGGTCAATGAAGATCGAACAAACAAGGTCTGTTGACGTGACACAAATATCCCATATAGCTCCTCAGTCTCCTATATCTCGGAACTGTGTCTTATCTCTACACCTCTGTAATTCAACAATACGTTCATTTCCGACAATTTATTAAAAGATTAATGATCTATTGGGTCAATGAAGATAGAACAAACAAGGTCTGTTGACGTGACACAAATATCCCATATAGCTCCTCAGTCTCCTATATCTCGGAACTGTGTCTTATCTCTACACCTCTGTAGTGTAAAAGCAACGCCTACGGTTTTGAAAATGTGTCACAATATATTTTA